TTATTAACACTGATGTTTTGTAGGCTTTATTCTGCAGTTCTCACTGACAGTGTTTACCTACGCATGGACAATTAGTTCTCTACAGCTAATCAGTCTTCAAGAATCATTTGCAAGATATTGTTTACATACTGTAAAGGAGGAGATTTGTTACTGAGAGGTAAATGCCCTTTGGGGACAGGTATAGTGCATTCACTTCCCTGCACTTTTCCTCTCACCTTTTTAACAAAGTTTCAAGGCAGACCATGGAAGTTGCTGCTGGGTTACTGTAAGCAGCAGCTCTGTAAGCTCCTTAATCAACACTCCATAGCCTCCTGCACAGAGCCAGGCAAGTACGCTAGGTGCTCTTTGATTAGGCTCATGCTAAGGAAGTGAGCCTTAAATCGGCTCATGAGACAAGAAACTTCATTTTGTGCTATTTGGGATTCATTTTAGAGCCATTACAAGACCTTTATTTATTGCAAGGCCTATTCATTTTATGATTTAGTCCAATGATTTTTCTTTATGATTAAACCAGAATGCTCTCTTAAAAAAAAAAAAAAAAAAGATAATGGTTGTTAGGTTGTTATTTGGTGCAACCATTGTGACAGACCTCTAATTGACTTCTTTTTCTCATGACAGTCTTTTCATACTTGCCACTGGGCACCAAATTAAAATGGCCTGAATTTCAGACACCTGGAGAGCTTACAGTTCAACTATGGAATTAAATGTTCTGCACTCCTATGAATGTTCTGCAGACTTCTAGAAATCTTAATTAAAAGCATTTTATTCTATGTACAAAATACTCTTTTAAAGCAAGAAAAAGTAATGAAAATCAGGGTTCCGTTTTTTTTTTTCTTTTTTTTTTTTTTTCTTCAGTTACACTGATATTCTCTTTTAATTTCAAGTTTAGGAATCGTATCAGTACTAATAATATTCCACAAATAGGGTAAAGTATTGCCAGTCCTCTATATCATTTACAATGACAGTTATAGCAAGGAGTTGTATCTGCAAATTGATTTGTCAGAAGTTGCTCTATATTTCACAAAATTATTTGAATCTATAAGTATAGCTAAGCATATAGAACAATAGCATGGGTATCACAGGAAGTCACTGCTTCTGAGACTGATGCAGGCACACTAGGTTTGCTTTCATGTTCAATTTTCTCTTAGCTATTTTCCTGATTTTATAATAGAGATGTCCTAGCTATTTCTAAAGTACTTTGTGTCTGTGCTTAGTATAGCCTGGTGTGAAAGATGCTTGGTCATACTCCTCTGCCACACAGGGAGAGTAATTTTCTGCCTAAGCCAAAAGATTGCATTGCTTCTGAGAATTTCAGAAGACCCCAGTACTCTTGGTGACAAATTTTCCATCTATCTGAGAAAAGTTGAACAGCCCATGCTGTTCATGATAACTGCTGAGAGACTGTTGAGATCCCGTTGAAACTTCTGGCCTCTTCCTCACATCACTAAGAAGGGTTGAGCAAGAAGGGGATCAGCTAAGTTTCACCAGCCTTCATTCTGACTGTATGTGATAGTCCTACAACCCTCACCCAAAAGAATCAGCAGAAATACGTAGAAATACATATGTATTCTCCCCGAAAGTCTTGTTCAGCAGAATTTATTCAAGGAAAGGAAGGATGCAGAGAGAAAAGTGTTCCAACCTGGCAAGCTCAAATTTATCCTTCTTAGGGACATAAGAGCCAGCCCACAGCAGCTTCCAGGTTGCAGGAAGACCATCCAACCTGAGGCTGAGTTCAAGTTTTAAAAGATTAGATGTAGTCTATGTCAGTAAAAATCCTAAAGAAAATCAGCGCAGAATTTTAACTTTTCTTTCAGTGTTTTAATTTTTTCTTTATCCAGCTAGTTAGTACTCACAATTGTTTCTGCTGACATACTTTCTTACAGAAAAAAAAAAAAGAATATTGTACTCCATATTTCACAACTATAATTGTTCAAATTTTGGCTAACATTGAGCGCTCGGAGAATTTGCTGATTTTCTGAATTGAGTAAGAATCCCAAAGCAGGCAAATGGCAGAAATTTTCTGTCCAGGCTGGAGGCCTCCATTTTTACCTACTGTATCAAACTGGTACTCAACAGCCTTGCAAATTGAGGAAAGTTCTTTTTTTGCTTCAGAGGAGTTGAAACTTCACCCTGAGAATAAATTTGTATTTAGGAAATGAGAACTCATATTACATCTTCTAGCAGCCCTCCTTTGTTTTGTAAAGCAGGTGCTTACCAGAGCTCCTCTGAAGCTGACCAAATGCAGAGGGTCAGTCCAGCCGGAGTGCAATTACTAAAGCAGAGGAAAAGTGGTTGTCTACTTTAAAAAGCAGGAGCCCAACTGTCCATTTTCCAATCTTAAGATTGATATCATCAGCTTAAGAAAACAGAGCTTCAGAACACCAGGGCCAGTGAACAAAAGAAAGCATTTTCTGTTCATCTGCTTAACGTGGAATCAGTTGATGCTAAAGCTTTTGGAGTAAGCAAGTAAAATGGAGGTGGATAACTCATAGGCTGAGTTAGCAAAAATAGCTGTTCCATTCTGGTAATGTCATAGGTTACATCAATAAAGTGCTTTCATCTCTAGCTCACAGTAATCAGATAGTGATTCTTCACATTGTTACAATGCTAAAGCTACAAAAAAAAGAAATAGCACTGTATCTGTATAGCTGAGTAATAACATCCATAAAGGTTATTTTCTTTAGTGACACTGTGGGAAAGATAATTCCAAATATGGCTAAATGAAGCAAACCTTCAGTACAGGGTACCTACAGTGATATTCAAAATGACTTTGGTGCCTGGTACGCAGTTTAGCAAGTATGTAGACATATTGATCCACTGAAATAAAATGGGAAAATCTATCTGTCCTCAGCACATACCTATGTGATGAACCACCCATGTAAAACAGTTACACATATGAGAGAGCATTTAGTGGAATGCAAACAAGGTCTGAAGAGTGTCTGAAGATGCAAGGGGGAATGGTCTTATTCTAAAGTAGAAAAAATTTAAATTAGATGTCAGGGGGAAGTTTTTCCGCTGAGAAGACAGTGAGATGCTGGAGCTGGTTGCCCAGAGAGAATATGGATGCCCCATCCCTGGAGGTATTCAAGACCAGGCTGGATGGAGCCCTGGGAAACCTAATCTAGTTCTTAATCCAATGGTTGGAAACCCTGCCAATGGCAGAGAAGTTGGAGCTTGGTGATTCTTGAAGTCCCTTCCAACCCAAGTCATTCTGATTCTATGAATTTATTCATGATTCTATGAATTTATGAAGCTGAGCTATATTAGCTAGAGGTGAGACAGAGCTAACTCATCATGACAATGTTTAAGGTTTTGTTCACTCATACCATACTGGATCACAGCATAATATTATGGATACCCAAGATTCACTCTTCAGCTATTCCCTGGCCACATATATTCTGGTTCAAAGAAATGTTTAAGTGCCTGCCTTTCTCCTACCACATCTATTTAGAGATGGTCCTATAGTTAGAAAGCATAAGACCACTTTCATTCATTATTTTGTTCTTCAGACTAGAGTTTTGTCACAATGAAATCATGGATACCCAAATCTATTGGGTTTGGTTCTTCAAGATTCTGAACTCAACTCGATCTGTAAATTGTTAGCATGCAACATGTAATGGTGCAAAGACTGCAAAAGTTCCTCTGGAAAGAATGTCCTTTAATTAAAGGTACTTCTCTAGGTGCTAAATCCCTAAGTGCCATTTAGAACTAAGCATGACCAGACTAAATTATTCCTTGCAGTATGTGCATTAGAATGCGATGAGATAGTAATCGGGTGGTAATGTGGTGCATTAGACTCAGTGTCATGGCCAGAAGAGGCTCACTGGGTAATTGCAGTGAAGCATGATGTTATGGTTGGTGATGGTTTTGTTCAGAGAATCTCCAGGGAAAGCGTGGTTTCCACAAAGCATACTGAGATTCTGCTGTGAGGTAATTAGAAAAGCATGACTGATTTTTTTTTTTTTTTTTTTTTTAATTTTATTTCATATCCTCTCTTCTTTAGATATAACAGTCTGAGAATAACTACAGCAACATAATGTCTTGCTGAAATTAGCTAACTGGCCCTTGCTTTGAAAAGAGCAGGGTTCTACCCAACTCCTTCTCATTGAAAGTTAGCTTTATAAAATTCATTAATTTACTGACACAGCATGTATTTCCAATCCTGACAGTTTATCACAGCACAAAATCAGTATTAGGATTTGTGTTTAATTACCATATTCTAATATTAAATACCTTTTAAACTCCTCTGATTAATTCTATTCAAATGTATAACTGAGTCTGGAGATGAGATCTACCTTCTTCAACACTTCAATTGATCACAAAGAATGACCTCACTTAGAAATATTTGTCCCAGAAAATGTATGCCCTTGTTGTCCTAAATATTCCAAGTCACACTTAAGTTTAGAAATTTCCCTACCATAACCACTTTTTTTGTTCAGAAAAAGTGTAGTAAGAAAAAAATCAACATACGAAACTGAAAAATCCTGTCTGGGGAAGACAGAAGTATGTAATGCAGATGATAAAGTATGGAATTTAATCTGAGAGCTGGGCGTAAAGGTTACCCAGGATTGAGTGCTGAATGATCTTGAATACTCTCCTGCCCCCAGCTCTGCTCAGTACTAGATAGAACATAGCAAGAATAATGGCATAGACCACAGCTCAGCATTTTCTGCCTGGATGGTTCTAAGAGAGACCTTAATTTGCTAGAGTGGCAAATGATAATATTGCATTGGAGAGGAAATCAGCCAGAGATGCACCATCACTGCTCTCTACTCTCAGCAAAGCAAACAAAGACACGGAACACAGCATACTGCTGGTTATATACAACACTCATTGCCAGCAAACCAAGGTACTGAATCTGCATCCTGAAAATGCTGTGTTTGCAAACATATTTAATTCCAGTTTATTGCGTCCTTATTGATTTTTAAAATACATGCATTAATTATACATAGTATAACCCCAATATAATGCTTTTCATTTGATTTCCTTTACAATTTTAGCTCCAGAAGTGTTCCAGGCCTTTATGGATGGAGGTCCAGGATACTCGTACCCTGTTGACTGGTGGTCTCTAGGAATTACAGCGTATGAATTGTTGAGGGGTTGGGTAAGAATAATGCTTAATCTACTGCCTGAAAGAAATCCAAATGTTTGCAATTTCCAGAACATGCCCTTAATGATAACACTGGAGTGACCAAGGCTGAGACTGTGGTCAGGTATGCAGTTCTGGGCCCTCCCCAGCTGACAACATCCTTGGGAAGGTATCACCTCGCACTCATTTATGATATAAAGTTTGTGTAAAATGGACATAGGCTTTTAGTGTGTGCTAAGGTTAAAGCCTAATATTTCAATGGCTAATCACAATGCTGAACTAGAAATAATGGAATCTTTTCCAGATAGAAGTTCAGTTACCTCTGGCTTCATTATATCTTTGATTCTCTTATATAATGTTTAAAAGATGATAATAATATTCCTACATCACTGGTTCAACTGCAGAAAAATGTTTATCTGCCAGTTCACTCATTAGTTATCTAATCAATTCTGTGAATAAACATAGTGAAAAAATCTTTGCCAAAATATTTCACATGGAATGGCAAAAGTCACAGCCCCAGTATAAAGATCTCTCTCTCCCATGCCACATGTCAGTACATCTCTCAAAAAAAACCCAAAAAAAACCACAACTGAAATTATTTAAAAAAAAAAAATAAATAAAAAAAAATGCTTTGCAATTTTTCCCTGTCATGATTCTCAATTTTTATCTGAACAGTGAAGTTCTGGCAGTGATAAGAAAAGTACATTCTGAATCCGTTACAGAAGGAAGTGCTAGATGTATATAAAATAATATGAAAAAAAATGTCCATCTGCTTTTACATCAATCCTTTCACCACAGAGTGTCTCCAGGAAAGGAAAACAATCAATGATCATATAAGGACAGCTGAAATTCCCATGACTAATAACAGAAGATACCTAATCACTTTCGTAAATGAAAAGTGATATAGATGGGTATCTATTTGCCAAGATCAGTACAGTTGTCTCTGAATAAGCCTGTCTAGCCAGAGACAAGGCAAAGCTGAGGCTGAATCAAAATGTTTTTTTTTTCTAAATGCAAACACTGCCATCTGTCCATGCTCCAGTCAACCAAGCCAGCTGTTTGTTATTTTCCCTAAGAGCAGCCCTTTCCTGTGAAGCAAGGCAGAGCATGGATTGGAGCCCACACCTTTGCATATAACTGCAAAAGGTGTGTTTTTTCCCCAAATTGTATTTCTATGTGTTTTCAGTCTTGTTAAGGCCTAAACCCCTAGGAGTAGAGACAAGGGGAGTAGTGGTACTCTGAGGTACAGTGCTTCACCCAAGGCATGTTTGCAACAACCTCAAGCTCCGAAGCTCCATCTGCTGCAGCAGCTCTGTGCAGATGGCTGCAAAGGGGTAGCACAACCATACAGGGCTGCATGGTAAGCAGTCCCCTTCACTACCATGAAGCCCACCCAGCCTCAGAGGAGGACAATAAACTGCAACAGTTCTCATGCCTCGTGTTTTACCACAAAGCACCCAGGACAGCACACTGCTTGAAATAATGCTGGATTTTCCATCTATAGGAGTTATGCATTTGCACATTGATGTACTAATAGCATTTAGCTCCAGATCTCATATCACACATTGTGTGGTTACTATGTAAAGCCTAATTCACAAGCAACCCATGCTCTATCCCAGTTTTAAAATACACCTCAACATAGAGCAATATTCTAACAATTTTCACCAGAAATACACACCTTTAAATATGCTTTTTTAATTATTAAGTAGTAAATTTATGGGTAGTACATTTATTTCCAAAGGCTACATTTAATAAAAGGTAAATCATAGCAATCTTCAAGATCAAAGCACTGTGAAGCCCAGGCATTGCAGGTACACCTACATCTATGCAATGAGTTCATTTTAGATATCAAAAAGAGGTATGAAAAAAGATTGGGTTGTGGAAAGTCTGAGCTCTTACTGTGACTCTCATGAAGATTTTTGTATGCTTAATATCTCAGTGAAGCCAAGATTACAAAGCTCACTTTAGCTAGCAATACTGTATTTGGTTACTTAAATCACAAGTTTTTCCTAGTACTACAAGCTTAAAAAAAAAAAAAAAAAAAAAAAGTAAATTAGTAAATTCTATTTTCATATGAAATGCCACAAGAACAAAACTATTCACCAACTAATTTGAATGGATACTTAGCATGAGAGAAAAACTAGAGAAGAAATGCATCTATGAGTAATTATATTCATTATAATCAAAGAAAAGAACACATGCAATGAATGATTAGCTTAAAATTGTTACAAGATATTTTGATGTTTCAATATCTCCAGTACAAACAATACTGAGCTCAGGAAATGTGAGGAAATTGTGTACATTTATTATCCACTCCTGCTGAATTGATATTGATTTAACTTAATTCCAGAGGCCATATGAAATTCATTCAGCCACCCCCATTGATGAGATACTCAACATGTTCAAGATAGAAAGAGTCCACTACTCATCTACATGGTGCAAGGGCATGACAGCATTACTAAAAAAGGTAAGAAAGTACATCTTCCACCCTTTTCTTCTCGTACAGAAGCCCCTCCAGCAATGCAGAACATCAGGACACACATTAGATAGCCAAAATTTCAAGGATAAGGAAGTAGTTCTTTTTCCCTACAGTTTTCCAAGCGTTGTTTGATGCTGTATTTTTTCTTAAGAAATTGTATTATTCTTATTCCTAAGCTGACACTTCAAATAGCTTTCTGCTTCTTTCTGGCTAATATTTTTATTTTAAAACCAATTCACTAATGATAGGAAAGTGTAATTCCAGCTCCCTGACTATCTGCTGCTGTTTCCAGCCAGAGACCTTAGAAATAAAAAAGGCTGCATTTCTTGCTGTCCTGTGTTGCTACAGAGGCAATAGTCAAAAAAAAGTCAAGCCACTTCACTGGAAATGTTGCTAAGCTACAAGATGGGGTTCTTTTTCAATGTGCCATGACCCTACAAGGTGTGTTCTTCTTAAAACCCCAGTCTATTTTATTTTTTCTTTGCACTGTAAGGTTTATCTACCTCTTCTAGGCATTTCCAATCATCAGTACTGAAGATTTTATGAATGTGTGAATAGAGAAACAGAAGAACTTTTCCTTTTGCAGCAATGAGCAATCTATTTTTAACAAATGGAGCAACAAGGTGGCCAATTTTAACTGCTACCAGGATGCTCAATGTAACAATATCTTCCAATAAATTAAAGATGAAGTACAAATTGTTGTGTGACATTGAACTGTGATGTTTCATGTCACTTGGACTCTTATCTATTCGTAAACAGGCTTCTGTTACTAATTCATTTATACAGCTTACATTTGCAGCAGCCATCTGTTAACAGTTAGATTATATATATATATATATATATATATATATATATTTTTTTTTTTTTTTTCTATGAGTTACTACTTCCATTTTTTGGATCATACCTTCTAGAACTTGTTAGAGAATTCCCTAGCCATGCTCACACACTACATTGTGTACCATTACAAGTACATTTCCTGTTTTATCCAGTCCCTTAGAAAATTTCTTGTGCTTGATCACAGCTCCTCACCAAGGACCCGGAGTGCCGTCTTTCAAGTCTTGCAGATATCCAAAGCTCTCCATACTTAGTTGATGTCAACTGGGATGCTGTTCTGGATAAAGCTGTGACTCCAGGCTTTGTTCCTAATGTAAGCTGACATGCCAGATGAACAGTGTTCACAAATTCTAACTTTTAACTTGTTTACACTTGCATTTACTGCTTTTCAGTGATTTACCTCTCACAGAAACTTTATTTTGGATTCTGCTTTAATTTACTCAGTTACAGCTAAGAAAACGGAGCCTGCTTCATTAGACCATGACAAAAAAAAAAAAACAAAACAAAACAAAAAAAAACCTAATTAACCTTTGTTCACTTTCAGCCCTCTTTTAAATGAAAAAAAAAAAAAAAAAAAAAAAAATGTTTGCTGACTGATTTTTAGCTGTTAGTGTCAACTGTCAGTTTACACTGTATTAGTGCCAACTGTGAGCCAACAAACACCAAGAATATTGTTGCTGTTCTGAAATTTAGGCATCTGGCATACCATTTACAAAGCTTTTATTATTCTAGTATGCAAAACCTTTTTCCTTCAAAACAGTTCCAGAATGGCTGACCCATTTCCTTTTTGACAGTTTCCTTTACTAAAGCATTCAGAATTCACAAGGGAATTTGGCGGCAATTCTTTTTTCTGTGATACCATTTTGTTCTTATTTTATTTTGATTTTGTCATTAGTAAGTTGAATGGACTTGAATATCATGAAGTAAAAGCGGTAGCTGTAGCGTTAACACATTTCTTGACTTGGTTCAGTCATTGAAGCTATACTGCACCACAATTCTTCTCCAAACAATATATATAGAGTACTAAGGATGATTTTTTTAAAAGTGAAATTCTGCTGCTAAGAACTGGATACAAACCAGATTTGGTCTGGAAGTGTACAGCCAAGCAATGCGTTTCACTCTACTAGCCCTAACTGTTTAGCAGGGAGGTATGGTAGCTTGGCTGTACTAATAAAAACCAATAATGGGACTACAACTTTTCCACATCCAGCTGGCTTATGTCCAGCCATCCCATAGTCTGGGCATAACAAATATGGGATGGTCTCCAGCTGGCCACAGATAAGTATCTTTAACCTCTTAATTTACAGTTCTCATGTAGATGTTTGGTTCTTTTCACTTGGATTCAGATATTTTTGAGGGTACCTGGGAGAGAGTAAGTTTCCTGAGAGAGTGGAAAAAAAAGTTGTCTTAGACATAATTTCAAAAGGAATCATGAAACCTATGTGTTGGATACTGCTCTTTTGGCCAACTGTTTTTTCCTCTGTGACCGATGTTGACAATAGTAACCATATTGCATTGCTGCACCAATTCCATTACTTTTAACTGCTACTTTTAAATATATGTCCAAAGACATATTTACGTTCTTGTCACTTTGGCAGTCACCACCATTGAGTTTTGGAAGGAGTCTAAGCTTAGGAGAAATTATAGAAGGGTTGAGAAAGTTATTTTGCTCAAAAAAATATTATGGCATCAAAGACAGATGGAAAAGGATTAAAACCCTAAGATTTCTTTAGTTCCTCACTTTCATTTCCCCCATTCCAAAACCTGAAGAACTGCAAGAGGGAAAAAACATAACACCAGTAAAAATGGATCACCAGAATAGTTAAGAAATGTGAAATTAAATTTGAGTTGCAAGACTGATCCTTGCTTGATCTTGGGAAAATAATATTCCATCTTTAAAAGTAGAAAAACAATGTTTTTTACCTACGGAGATCAATCTGAAATTCCTATTAAAAAACTCTGCACGTCAGGATAGAGATTGATATTGCAGAGGTTGTTCCACCTGGTCAATCAGGTGTACTAGGAAAAACAATGAAAATGTGAGTCAAAGTGTATTTTCCAGGCTGACATATCTTTACACAGAATGCTTTGCTATTTCAAGAGACCAGATTTGGCAAGGCATTTCCCAAGAACCTTACTCTGTTGACCAAGGAAAGCATTCATTAATTAACTGAGACCAGAGAACAAAATATTTCTTGGTTTTCAGGTTTTAGGCAAGAGGCTGAATTGAAGTCAGAGTATGCCATCATCAGGGTAGAGTCTCATTGTTTTAACAGCTTGGTGTTTCATTCAAGAGCTTGTCTTGCCTTCCTTTCCTCTGATCCACAGATACATCTTTGAATTACTAGTAGTGTTTCTATACTATTTACCTAATTTCTTTATATTCGGCTTAGTCACATAAACAACAAATAGTTTTTTGTACTGCTAAATATTCAACAAAGGAAGCAAGAAATTATTTAACCCGCTTTCATTTATTAAACTTAATGCTATTACCACTGACCAGATAAACTGAAAAAATGCCATGATACTTCAAAGAGTAACTTTGAATCCTTTCATACCAGAAAGGAAGACTGAACTGTGATCCAACATTTGAACTTGAAGAAATGATCTTGGAGTCCAAGCCCCTTCACAAAAAGAAAAAGAGACTTGCCAAAAACAAATCCAAGGATGGAACTAAAGAAAGCTGCCCTCTGGTAAGTTTCAGCCACTGGCTCGTAACATGTATTCTGTAATGAGCAAAGTAACTGAAGTTCTGTTCCACCATCTGTGAAAATACAGTTGGTCTCTATGTTTCTCTGTGTTTACATACAACTGCAGAATCCTTCTCCAAAGATGAAAGCAACCACTTACCTCAGTGAAATAGTAACAGCACATTGGAGCTATAATAATTTTTAAGATTATCACTGATGCCAGTTTAAAGTATAAAAAGAAGTGTTGCCAGTTGCAGATATGCTTCCCACACATGGCCAGACATTTAGGAGTATTTATTCCCTACTAGTACCAAAAATGAGAAGTACACAGTTAAATATTTCTTACTTATAAACATTTAAAAGCTATCTTTCATGGCCTTACTCATGCGTTCCACATAGAAAGACATACTGAATAAACAGTCCTTTTAGGAGACTTTAAGGAGTCTTAAACCTTTAAGGAGACAAAGAAATAACCATTCCTCAAATTTGAATTTTTATTTCATTAGGGTCTTTTTAATGAATTATCTTGCTTCTCCCAATAATTTTGAATGATTACAAAATCCATTTTTCTTAGAGTTATCAAAGTTAAAAATTCCCAGGAATTCCTTGTGGGGAACAGCTCTCAAAACAGAGAAAGAATGATTGCACTTTTAGGGCCCACTTATAAAGAATCTTCAAAACACCTTTTGGTAGCATTCATTCATAAGCTGTTTTATTTGGTACTGTTTCTGTAGGTGTGATCTTGTCTATGATTTTCTGTCATTTTTAATCAACCTATTCCTGCTGTTTTTTAAAGAACATACACCTGCAGCAGTGCTTGGAAACTGTTAGGAAAGAATTCATCATATTCAACAGAGAGAAGTAAGTGCATTTCTTAATGCCTCTTTACCATTCACTACTGAAATTAATTTGAGAATGATTTTTTTCTCCTACTCTAAAGAAAAGCGATTAATGATGTGATTAGCAGAGCTAAAAGCCTGGCTTTCTACTCATCTCATCCTCTTAGACTCCAGTGCAGTAGTTTTGTAGTTTCATCTCTGAAAGCAAGCAAAAGTGCTTATGGTAAAAGTAGTTAGAAAGATAACATCAGTGTCCCTAACACTGCTCCAGAGAAGCCATTAACAATTAAGGAAAGGGAATACAATGCAAGGGACTGGGCTTTTTTTAGAACTCAGAGAAGAAGAAGGGAAAAAAAAAAAAAAAAAAAAAAAGAAGAGAAGAGAAAGCCCATGCAGTTTTAACAATATCAATGACAGGGTTCTGACTTGACAACCCTATTCGTACTCCACCACTATAAAACAGGTTGTTTAATCAGATGCTTTTTCAGTAAAGCTAGATATTTAAGGTATATCATAAACAGAGAGAGCACTTCACATTTACCTGACAAGGAGAATCAGTAGAAATGCAAGTCTGAGTATCAAGATATCAATACTGTTCCTGTCCTTTTAATACACTACATTTCAGATAGCTTACTGTGTTCGAGTCTAAGCCACTGTAGAACTGCTTCTATTATGGATTGTAACACGCAGAAAGATCAGCACAATGGAATGGTGATACAGGAGGTGTAACGACACAGGGACTACTACAATAGAAAGGGGTTACAAAGAAAAAGTACTTACCCATCTCTGAAGCTCTAGGCTTGCAAGGGAAACCTCACAAGGAAGGGCAGTCAGCCCTTAAATGAGGTCTAAGGCAGCCAGGCTGCAGCCCTTCTGGTCACACAGCTGAATTGCCTTCACCTGTGCTCCCAGTGCTGACCAGAATCTTTCCCCAGGTGCTCAATCAGTGGTTCAGGCCATGACTCAACAGTTACCATACATGGATATAACTCACAACAGGAGAATTGTTTGTGGTTTTGGTCCATTTTTCAGTTTCATTCAAGTATGTTCAGTGGTTTTATTTGTCCTGACCAGGTATTTACCTGGATTTCCAAAGTTATATGATGAGTAGAATTCTTAGGAACAATTGCGGATGTTGAAAGGCATTAGCTGTTCCTACAAAGACAATATCCAATAAATGATCATATCAGTCTTACAGGTGTTAATCCCAAGCACAGCTTTAAATTAGTTTCAGATTAACACAGTCAGATGCTTTGATATTCCTCCATAGTCCTCTGCATTAAGCAGAGTTGATTACACAGTCTAGCTGTTTGAAAATATGCTAAAAGTAATCACAATTTTTAAAATGTAGCCTCTTTCAAGAGAAAAAAAAATGCAAATCCTCAAGCTAGAAATATTCTAGGAAAAAATACTGGTTGAGCAATGTAGAGTCATATAGTAATGTCCTGATAGAGTGTAGAATTAACCATTCCAGTTCTATGTCTTGCAATTCATTATTTGTAAAATATTTGCTAGGAAAAGCAGACTGTTTTTATAGAATATCTCACTGATATTCTAAGGCTGTCTCTCTTTTTCAATATATACCTTTAAACTTACAACAGATGTTGCAAATCTTGAAATAGATCATACTCATTTTCATTCGGAGAAACTCAGAAGACAAGCAGGAACTGACAGGGTGCAATTAAGGGGGAACAAATGAAGCATTAGGGTTAAAAATAAGGCTCACTACGCTAAAAAAAATGCAGAAAAAAATCAAGAGACTGACTGAAGTGTTACTAAGCAGTGCAAGTGGGTATGCTGGTGATGGATTGATGATTGGATTAGGTGATCTTAGAGGTCTTTTCCAACATTAATGATTCTATGGTTCTGAGTTAATGCTGGCAAGTATAGAAAGTGAAAATCGATGTTAGCAAATACAGAGTGTACACATTTCTATTTTTCTATTGCATTCTAAAGTTCAGTATATAGTCATGGGTATTTACAGGAATGGTTTAAGGAAAATGAGCATGAGGAAGTATCAGCACATACCTTTAAGACACGATTACACACTGTCCCAGTACTACATAAAATGAGAAAAACAGCCTTTTGTAAGCCAAGTTCAAAAGTGATGGAGAAAATCTTTTGTATTCTTCTGTAAGAGTAGCAGCAAAGTCTCTTTCTTAGCTTCAAATACAAACTAAATGGACTATGGTCTAGAATGTACTGGATCTTGGTTGGAGATTATGATCTTATGTTGATTTCAGGGACTTGTTTAGCTCTTTCTGCTGACGAATGGAATTTTTCTGTTTTAAAATTTATTACAACAGATAGAGCTTTATTATATCTAGAAATGCAGCACCAGATATTATGCAGTATCTGAAGGCATCTTGCTAGCAATTTTTCGAGAAGCTGATCTTATTTAGAAGCTGTAGGCTATATTTTCTTCAGGCAATAAATAAAATATTGTACAGATAAAGCCATGATGTTTCTTTTTAGCTTCATTAGAAAGCTGAGCATGGATTATCTTGCTATTTTAGTGCTGTAATCACTAAAGAAATCTTCATATACATCTGCATTTGCTTATGAATGTTCAAAACCTGAAATAGCACAAAATGAAGAAGCAGAAGCAATATTTTCTTGTAGAAGAACCTCATTTCTTATCCTTTATGGTTCCTGAGCCTCTTCCTCTCCCTGAAAGATGTCTTAAAGATTAAAGAGGTGAGCAAATAACGAACAGAGGAAACACAGGAAATATCTGCACCTCAGGCAGAATAATCCTTCAGCTGAATGCTTCACAAACTTGTCATCAAAATTATCAGACTAGTAATGAAATTAAAATCATAGAGCCACATATTACTAAATAGAACATGCATTATATATATACAAGGCATATGAAAATGGACTCAAATTCTGAATACTGACTTTAATTAAAGGGATGGAGCAATTAGGAAAATTTCCGTATTTTAGTAGTATTTTTAGTAGTCATTAAAAACAACTACACAAAAAAATTATGTCACAATTTGAAACAGTTGAATGTCTGCTGTGCACAACCCCTCTTTTTTCTTGCTATGCTACTTAATGTTTGGCCATACCTAGTGCTTTCCTAATAGACACTGGGCAGCTGTAGTTGTACAGAGGGCAATTCACTTCCAGAATAAAGAGTAAAGGCTGAGTGACAATACCTTAGATATATTAAGATGCTTAAAATCTTATTTTCTGATTTTGTCCATGTCATATGCAAAAAACATAATATTCTCTGTATCAAATTAATGTTCACTTCTTTTGTAGTTCCTTTTCCTTCAGATTCAAATTCAGGGTCCCCAAATGCTCTCTTCCATTGCAGTTTGATTGCAATTGAACACTCATAATGATTTGCAATATCTCTTATTGAATGTGCTTTTCTTAACAGGTATTTTATGTCATTTAGTTTCTTTGGAGATACCTATAATTTTACAATCCCCATAATATCTGAAAATTTTTTGGCTGAGGCTAAGGCACAAATTTTTTCTTCTACCTTTGATTCATCTGAAGTCTATCTCTATCTGAACTTTTCAAGCTTTTTTTTTTTGTGCTGCTCTCCACTGATCTATCATCCCTTTTTTAAAAAATATGTCTGCTTTGGAAGATTTCTCTTGGAATCTCACACAATTGAAAACATACCTTTCTCAGCATGATCAAACCTAGATTGTTTTTGTTTTTGTTTTGGTGCCAATAACCACCATGCGACCAAACAGACTCTTTCACTTCTTCCTTTGTTTACCACTCATTATTACTGGTTTAGTATTACCTGTCCAAATGTTCCTACTTCCTTGGGAAACCAAGCTGCCTAAAGATTTAAGCACTAGCAAGTCTCAGCTGATCATCTTTCTACAGGTGTACCTTCAACTTCAGTTTTGAGGAAAAAGAGGTCATACAGAAACTTTCCATAATGTGTTTCTTTCACAGTTTCATGGAAGGAAAGAAAAAAAAAGATTCATGAATATTTGAAATCTCATTTTCAAAGCCTTCTAGAAAAAAAATAGCTGAAATTTTCTCAAGCAAGCAGACACATGATTGTGGTTGCTACACTTCACTAAATTAACATCCATCTTCAGGAATGAAAGTTTGTGGGGGAAGGGACACCTGTATCAGAGTATTCTCATTGTCAAAGCAATGGAGAGGACCAGAGGTTCAGGATAGTTAGTGTAGAGCCTCAGCAATGCAGACAACCAGAAATGAACCTCATGAAAACAAATCAAAAGTCAATTCACATAGGCAGGGGAAAGGCAAAATCATCTTCATTTATATGCATCTGAATTTGGAAATGTACCTAAATTTTATGATTCTAAGCAAAATATAATACATTTTTTTCTAAGTTACACTGAAAAGAAATCATATATATGATAAATGATGACCTCACAATACATCACAATTATTCAATAATTAGGACTTATTATTTCAGTTATTCAAGAGATTACTTCTACGATTTCTCTTTGTCTGTTTTCATGTCCACAAATGTTCATGATATCTAAGACCCCTGATATGCTTATTGGTTCAGGAAGACTGGAAGTGTCCGCAGAAAAGAGGATATGCCACTGCAGACATTTATCTCCATTTGTCTTGTTTTTTGATGTCCACTCTCATATAAAATGGGCCATTCTGAGATGGAAATCTGCATTAGATGGGATGTTTGTGTGTGCTTTTATGTTATCTCACTGCTTATAAAGTGTTCTTCTGGAGTCTGCATAAGAACACAAGTTTTACACAGTAATTTGTGTATGTATGTATATGTATGTATATATGTATGTATGCATACACCTCCTTTTTAGAAATAGCGAAAGTAGAGCAAATTTAGGACAGTAAGAGACTTAGGTAAGACTCAATTTGTCTCCTGTTTTTTGTGGATACGTCAAGCACCCAGTTCCTGTGAAACCCACCTAGAGATCATTTTCCTGTGTTCTGTCTGGGGCATAATATAATATATTATAATAAGTAGTCTTGTGGGTGCACCTCAATGTCTAACCTGGACAGCTCTGGGTTCAGACTCAATTCAGTGACTTCCAC